TCTTCAAGATGCTTCCAATGTCCTAAAGAAAAAGAGACAAAGACTGAAAGGAGCCATTTCCAGTGAAGAGAATTAAATTCTGAAATTCACAAAATAAATGAGTGAATCCTCTGGCAACCACACACAAACAGACTTACAAAAAGCACCTCCATATTTTTTTAAAAAAACCTATCCCATCTGCCTTTTCCCCCCAGTCATTCACCTCTTTTAGAGATGAATTACTTATTTGTTGCTTTTTTGTCTTAGAAAAATTACAGCCTGGCTGAATCCAACTCGATTATACAGTTTATGGTATACATAATAAAACATAATAATGAAAAGAAAAGAATATTTTAAAAAGAATATAATGTATCATAGAATGGAAAGAAATCTGGCACTGATGCTTCAGGATCAATCTCTGAAGGACAGTTGGAAAATCCAGGTGGTTACAACTTTGTAGAAAGTCATCAATGGGGGGGCTCTCCTTGCCCTGGAGATTAGGCTGACCCACAGGAGGGGAAACCCTCCAAAGAACTCCCACCACCACGTCCCTTAGCGGTCATAGGAACCCGAAGGAGGAATTCTGAAAACCATTAAGGGCTGAGAGATAGTGACCAATACTTTGAATTGGATTGCTTCTGCATGTCCTGGTTTTTCTGAATTATGCATCCTGACATATCAGCCATCAGTCTTCATATTTTCCAATTTCCTTCTCATGGAAAGAGTCAAAAAGAGTAGTTCTGTGGTGGGTCTAAAGCAGTCCACTCCACTCCATCATCTCAACTTCACTCCTTACCCGTAAGAGTTTGCGAGATGGCTGCTGATACTTCTCCTCCATCTCCTGGATGAGATCCTCAAGAGAGGAGGGTTTCTTCACGTGTTTGCCCAGACGCCTGTCCCTTCTTGACACAATCTCCTTCTCCGTCTCTTCCATTCTGGCCAGCAGAAGCTTCTCCTGTTCTTCCAACCAGCGTCGTAGTTCTCTGAACTCAGCCACTGTGTTTTTTCTCTTTCTTTTGATTAAGTCCTAGAACAAGAAGATGGAAAAATTAAAGGTCATAACTATTATGATAATTAACTGATTCACTGAATAGTCCAGAATTGATATGGGAGAATTTCTTACGAAGAAAATCCCTTTTGACTTTGCACCCATTTTGACATCAACAAGAGCAGTGGGAAAGGTTTGTAAA